GGCGCGTTACGTTGCACGAGGCTTCAGTCAGCGAGAGGGAGTTGACTTCTTCCAGACCTTCTCCCCGACCCCGAAGATGACCACTCTTCGGGTTCTGCTGCACGTCGCCGCTCAGCGTGACTACGAGCTCCACTCTCTTGACTTCAGCACTGCTTTCCTACAGGGCAGCCTGCACGAGGAGATCTGGCTGCGCCGCCCACCTGGCTTCACTGGGTCGTTCCCTGCTGGTACCCAGTGGAGCCTCCGGCGGCCAGTCTACGGTCTCCGCCAGGCACCCCGTGAGTGGCACGACACACTGAGGACGACTCTTGCTGCTCTTGGGTTTGCTCCTTCTACTGCTGACCCGTCGCTGTTTCTACGCACCGACACCACTCTGCCGCCGTTCTACGTTCTCGTGTACGTAGACGACTTGGTCTTTGCTACTGCTGACACTGAGGCACTCGCCCACGTGAAGTCGGAGCTGCAGAAGAGACACACGTGCACAGACCTGGGTGAGCTGACAAGCTATCTTGGCTTGCGGATCACCCGGGACAGAGCACAGCGCACCATCACCTTGACTCAGTCACACATGGTGCAGCAGGTCCTTCAGCGCTTCCGCTTCACGTACTCCTCGCCTCAGCCCACTCCTCTGCCTACTGGTCACTCGCTCTCAGCTCTGCCTTCGGATGAGTCCGTAGAGCCGAGTGGCCCGTATCCAGAGCTTGTGGGCTGCCTCATGTACCTGATGACCTGCACTCGACCTGACCTAGCATACCCTCTTAGCATCCTAGCACGCTATGTCGCTCCTGGCCGTCACCGGAAGGAGCACATGGATGCCGCTAAGAGGGTGTTGCGCTACTTGTGCAGTACGTCGGGCATGGGGCTTGTGCTTGGAGGACGGAGAGACGTTGTCCTCACTGGGCACTCAGACGCTTCTTGGGCTGACGACTAGGCTACTCAGCGGTCGTCTCAGGGTTACACCTTCAGTCTTGGCTGTGGTTCAGTTTCTTGGCGTTCTACTCGCTCGTCTTCAGTTCTCAGCTCCAGTTGTGAGGCTGAGATCTACGCCACAGCCATGGCTGCACAGGAGTTACGCTGGCTCACCTACCTGCTGACCGACCTGGGAGAGCGGCCTCGTTCTCCTCCAGTGCTGTACGTCGACAACAAGGCCGCCCTTGCCTTGTGTCAGGAGCACAGACTGGAGCACAGAACGAAGCACATCGCTCTGCACTACTTCCTTGCTCGAGAGCTGCAGCAGCGTGGTCAGCTTCGTCTCTCGTACGTGGCCACTCGGGCCAACACTGCTGATGTGTTCACCAAGGCACTTCCGCCTTGTGATCATCAGCGTTTCTGTACTGTTCTAGGCCTTGTGCCTATTGTCCCTCACTTGCTCACTTCTTGACTCTGCCTGTACTGTGATCTCTATATATATACCTGCATGCTTACACTTGCTAGGTTGTGATCACTGTACCTCTTGTTATATTATCAAACTGCATGTGAACTGGTCTTGTGACCTCTTGCTTGTGCTCGGAATTTGTGTGGTTTCCTTGAGATCCACCCTGAGCTTGCTTTGCTTTGCTTTGCTTGACTGGTCTTGTGACCATCTGGTTGTCTCCCACTTTGCCTATGGGGGTGTGTCAAACATTACATATGTTTGTGTTCTGTAGGCTGTAGTGGGTTTAGCCTTAGGGGGTACAATCTCTAGGGTTTCATACTTGTACTCCCAACTTTCCTAATTCAATCACTTCACTCATTCTGACAATAACTACTACAACGGGAGCTAGACTACGGGCTAGGCACGGGTGCTCGTGTGATCTCTGCGTTCGTTGGTCCTTAGTCGTTTTCCTAGTGCACATACTGCTTGCTAGTTCACGGGGCAATTTGGCAAGAGTTTCACTAGAGAAAGTTGACAACAATGGTACAAAGAAGTTGGCATGGCAAGACTACATCAGAGCTAGCATTCAGGTCGGTCGACTGCCAGCACAGCATGGTCGACCGCGTTCCAGCACGACTTGGTCGACCGCGCTCCAGCAGTGCAAAGTTGACAGCGTGCCAACGCTGCAGGTCGACGGCGTGCCAGCGTAGCTCCCACAGTACAGCATCGCACCAGCTTCGCAGGTGCTCGCAGATGATTGGCGTGCTGAGCCTTGTCACCTGCACAACGCACACACCAATTCGTGGCTGCAATACACGAGCGGATTGAGCCTGCCGCAGAACCAGAGCTTGAGGACGCTCGAGTGGGTGCGGACGAAGATTCTGGAGGAGGACTTCCGTCGCCGCCAACTGAGGGGTGGAGACGAGGGCAGCAGCGGCCACGGCATGCAAGGAGGCAAACGTGGAAGAGGACGTGGCTTCCGTGGTGCTGGTCGCGGTACAAAGAAGGACGACGACTCCAACGACCAACAAGGAGGTACCGGTTGGGGTCGCGGTGGGAAATCTGGACGTGGGGGCAGATCGGGTGCTGGTGGCAAAATGAAAGGGAGCTGCTGGTATTGTGAGAAGGAGGGGCATCCCTGGTTCTTGTGTTATAAGAAACCCGAAGGATGGACCCCCCAGAATCGCCATCAGGATGGCGGCGCTCGGAGCAACCAGAAAATCGGCGCGAATATGGTCGCAGATTCGTCCGACGACAACCCGAAAGGCAAAGGCGGTGCTGAGAAGAAAAAGGAGCGCACCGCGGGCCAGTTCTTCCACGTTGGAGACGAAGGGGAGCAAGGAGACGGTTCTGCCAAGGTTGGAGCAGAGCTGCACCCCCTGGACTTTTGGGTGTTGGACACGGGCGCTGCGTGGACGATGACGCCGCGCAAGGACCTGCTAGACGGCCTACGCTCTGCACCAATCTCTGAGGTGTGCTCTGCCTCTGGACACGCGTTGAAGGTGGCTGGTGCGGGACGAGCTGCTTTCAAGGGAGCGGATGGCAACGACTGCATTTGATCAGCTACGTCGACCTCGGGATACCACCACCGAGGTCGGACTCGCCAACTTCGCCTGAGCGACTGTCGCACTCCTCTGCAGAACCTCGTCACCCAGGTAACCTGGTCGACCGGGCAACCACGTCGACCAGCTGCTCCTGTATGTGTCCGTCGACCTCCCAAGTCGACGACAACCCCAAGTCGACCTCACCAGGTCGACCACGCCCCTGGTCGACCAGCTCCAGGTCGACGTCACTCCTGGTCGACCAGCTCCTCGTCGACCAGCACTCCTGGTCGACCAGCTCCATGTCGACCAGCGCAGTTGTCAGCCGACCACCCAAGTCGGCTACCCGAAGTCGGCGTCACCAAGTTGACGCCCTGCTACTCGACGCCCAGCTGCTCGGCGTCTTGAGTCGAGGTCGACGTCGGCCCCTCCTCCATCGACCACCAGGTCAGGTCGACCACCAGGTCGACATCACGCCTGGTCGACCAACCACCAGGTCGACCAGCAGGCCTGGTCGACCAACCACCAGGTCGACCAGCAGTCTTGTCAGCCGACCACCCAAGTCGGCTGCCCCAAGTTGGCGTCACCAAGTCGACGCCCTCCGCAGGTCGACTTCCCAGGTCGACCTCCCTGTAGTCGGCGCCACCCTGAAGTCGGCGCCCGTGCAGTGGCTCTCGTGCAGGTCGACCTCCTCGTCAACCAGCTCGCCCACTGCTGCAGGTCAGCTGCTCCCCTCGCACCCGACCACGAAGTCGGCTCCGCCCAAGCGAGGACAGGGCCAACACACAACTCCCGTTGACATCCACCGCCCGTCTCCACATCCATGCCGCTCGCACGCTCCTCGCCGCCCATATACTCACCACCGTCCCATTCCATCCCATCCTTACCTCGTCACTCCCTCATCCCCCCCTCTACCGTGCCAGCCTGCTACCGTGTTTGCGCGACAGGGGAGGGGGTGGAGGGGAGGCAGCGGGAATGGAGGTGGCGGCGTGGTGGGGGGAGAGGGGGGAGGGTGTGGGGGGGGATGGCGGGAATGGAGGTGGCGGTGACGGGGTGGCGACTTAGGGAGAAGGCTATGGGGGGGTGTGAGGGGGTGGCAGAAGTTTCACCTGCAGCAACTGTCGCCACACCTCCTCCTCTCTCTCTCTCTCTGCCACTGCTGCTGCTGTGGGGGGGAGGTTCAGGGGGTGTGGGTGGATGATCCAGCTGCAGCAACTGCCGCCACACCTCCTCCTCTATCTCTCTCTGCCACTGCTGCTGCTGTGGGGGGGAGGTTCAGGGGTTGTGGGTGTTGGGTAATCCAGCTACAGCAACTGCCGCCACACCTCCTCCTCTCTCTCTCTCTCCCGCTGCTGCTGCTGTGGGGGGGAGGTTCAGGGGGTGTGGGTGGTGTGAGTCAAGCTGCAGCAACTTCGCCTCCTCCTCCTCTCATCCCCCCGCCCCGTGTCTCTCGTGCTGCCGCCCCATAGTTCCCGTGCCTCCCGTGCCGCCCGTGCCTCCCGTACCTCCCGTGCGTTCAGTAGTGTCCCGTGCCACCTGTACCTTGCTGTTCGCCTGTGACTCCCGTTCCCACCGTGTTCCTCGTGCTTGCCCCGTGCCCGTGTTGCTGCCCGTGTCCGTTCGTGCCTCATCCCGTGCCTTGCTGCCCGTTCGTGCCTCTCGTGCTGCCCGTACCCCTTCGTGCCCCCCGTGCTGCCCGTGTCCGTTCGTGCGTCCCGTTGCTGCTTGTGTCCGTTCGTGCCTCATCCCGTGCCTTGCTGTCCATATCCGTTCGTGCCTCTCGTGTTGCCCATGTCCGTTCGTGCGTCCCATTGCTGCTTGTGTCCGTTCGTGCCTCATCCCGTGCCTTGCTGTCCATATCCGTTCGTGCCTCTCGTGTTGCCCATGTCCGTTCGTGCGTCCCGTTGCTGCTTGTGTCCGTTCGTGCCTAATCCCGTGCCTTGCTGTCCATATCCGTTCGTGCCTCTCGTGTTTCCCATGTCCGTTCGTGTGTCCCGTTGCTGCCCATGTCTACTCGTGCCCCACCCGTGCCATGGTATGCCTCGTGTAGCTGCTGCCCAGTCCGCCGTGTCCCTTACGCCGCCTAGGTTACGCTTACGCTGCTTATGCCTCCTCTCCCCTTCGGCACGCACACCAAGCACCTGCTGCGGGGCGTTCAACCGCAGCCGGGGCACCTGTTTCCACCGCGGTGGTCCAGCTGCTGCTCGGTGCCTGCTGCTCGTCGTCTTGAGAGGGGGCCCCTTGCTGGTGTTGCCACGCCCAGTGAGGGGGTTTTCCAGGCGTACCCCTTTAGGGGGTGTTGCTACACTAGCTCCTGCTGCATGCAGTTATGGGGGTGTGTTAGAACATATTTTCTATATATGTAGTTGTATTTGTAGTGTAGTTATGCTGTTTCGTGTAGGTGGTGCACCTCTTTCGTTCATTGTTTGCTATGTGTACCTCCTGGTCTATAATAAACACCACTCATCCCAACTTTTCTTGGTGACAAACTCTCTCAATACTCCTTGCATAGGCTCCTGAGCCTAGGCACTCACCAAACCTCAAGTTATAGCATACGTTCGTACGTTGACAGGCTCGCCATCCTTCACCACCTCCCACAAACTGAGCATGAGCGCTTCTCTCTGGTGAAGACGGCAAAGGAGTTGCTTGATTCTGTTGTTGCACGCTTTTCCACTCCCTTCCATGCCACGTTAGGCCGCCTCCGCCCCCGATCATTCCGCAACAACTTCTACGTGGAAGAGTTTGTGATCTACCGTGCCAACAAGCGCGGTTGGATGACGTCGCAGGTATATAATGATTGACAAACCGTTCCACATGTGGTTGTAGTGTGTAACAATGTCTACATCCGTCTCATCTTGTGTTCCCCGTGCGTGCCGTCTTTCATTTTCAGATTTTTCCACAATGGCTCGATGGTGTTAATTTTCTCGAATGGAGGGCGAGGACCGGCGCATCGCACTCCTTGTGGACAACGCTAGCTCATTGAACCCGATTGGCGGTCCAGACGTCTCTAGCAGCGGAAACTGCAATTTTGAAACACGAGATTAGTAATTTTGTGTTTTCCAAACTGAACTAGTAGTGCAGGAAGCACGTGGCTGTGGCCGTAATTTCGTTGTTGCTTGTGTTATCACGAGATGAGAGAGTTGGGCTCATACTGGATTACTGCCATGGACCCGCGTGTCAGGTCATACCAAAGCTTGGGTAGGAGGGGCGATGCGTGAGCGGTGTATGAGCGGTGTATGAGCATGTGACGGAATTGCCTTATCATACAGTGTGAATTGCTTGACAATGTTCTTCGTGCATGTGTGTGTTTGTGGCGTGTGTAGGTGTGTGCATCTTTGAGTGCGTGTGCATGTGTATATGTGTATGTGGGAGTGTGAAGATTAGGATATGCTTGAGTGAGCTTCCCAGTATTAGTCTTGATGCATGCATGTCTAGCCATGCGCCTGAACGTGTGTTCACGTGCACGCATGCATCACGTGCATCGCATGCATCACGTGCAGTGCATCACATGCATCGGATGCAATAAATGCAATAAATGCAATAAATGCAATGAATGCATCACATGGATCACTGTGGCAGGTGCAGGGGGGGGTGGTGGTGCTAAACGCACTGGTGGATGTTCACGTGTGTAATTGAGTGTGAATCCTGTGGCATGTCTGCATATGCGCACATGCATCACTGCGCCAGGTGCCGGGGGAGGTGGTGGTGCTAAACGCACTGGGCCCAGCCCCCACCCCACTCCCTCCCACAGGGTTTCTCCTCGTCGCTGGTGCTGCCCAGCGCCCACACTCTCAGGCCCCTCCGACCCTGTGCTGAGCACAAACCCCCCGTTCTCTCCCTCCCTCCATCCCCCCTAATCTCTTCCTTCCCCCCCCCCCCCCTCTCTGCCCCCACCCCGCTCCCTCCGCCAGGGTTTCTCCTCGTCTCTGGTGCTGCCCACGCCCTCGGACCCCTCAGACCCAGTGCTGCCCGCCTCTGCTGCGATCAGCTCAGTGGATCGAGTAAGGGGCCCATTCAACCCCGCTCGCATGGAGTACATTCAGCAAGACATGCGCTGGGATGAGTTTGAGCAGCTGCTGGAAGCCATGCACCTCTGACTGTTCATGTAGTGCATACGAATGAAAGGAAGTTATGCGCATTGGAAGTTATTTTTGCAAAAATAATAATAAATGCTAACTATTTTGCACACGTGATCCACATTTTTTTCTTCACAAAGAAGAGGAGAATGGAGGACAGTTGTTTAGTTATTTTGTTTTATTATCATATATTCAGTTAGAATTTGCATATGTTTTTCCAGACTTTCCCATAACCAATCTGAGGGGTACCAAAGTCAAACTGTAGGGAAATGTTTCGACGTTCCTTCCTTACCGCGTGCCTCAACAACCATATACAATACAAGACCAGCCGTTGTTCGCCCGTTACTGCTACCGTATCGTGGCTTCGCCAACCTTCGCGCGCACTATTCACCAAACCATGCACCGCTGGCTCGGCCGAGTCAGCCTATGCCTCGGGACTAGCCTGAACCGCCATGCTAGCATCGCACTAGCAAGCTCGCACGCACCGCGTAACCGTTTGCATGTATTCGTATAAGTATTCGCTCATGCCTTCGCTCATACTTTGTACTCATTAGACACACTGGTGCAATCCTCGTTATCGCGTTCCATTGCACCCGTAACGCTTGGCTATCAGAGCCACTCACCCTTCGGACCGCGCATTTCCGCAACTAGCAGAAGCCAACTTTTGATTTTTTTGTTCGAAGGGACTCACGCCCCTTAGCGTTCTAGGAGCCGTTGTCCTCGCGTTCTCTCGTAAACGCGTACAGCCACGACTGAGCCTAGCACATAGACCGGCCGCCGTCCTTTGACAAGGGAAACCGTATCCATCTTGCGACACTCACGCATGAGCGCCTCGACGAGTTGACACGCCATCTGCGCGAAAGCTGCGAAGAAATCGCGCACTAACGGCAGAACGCACATCGCTGCAAAACGACATTGCACAGGCGCAACAAGCACGGACACAAACGCAAGGCACACGAGCACAAGGAGCACCAACCGCCGCCCAACCTGAGAGCGTGGGACATCACTCGAGTGCGGCTAGTGATGGCGTCGCGCGCAACATTGTTCGCGACGACCACGTAACGACACACCACGGGGCGACGAATGCGGGTGGGAACCAACCGCTCGTCAACACCACGACGCAAATCGACGAGTCGGCACTGCCTTCACCGATCCGAGCCAATGGGGTGGTCCGACGGTTCGGGCATGGCTATTCACGATGAACGTGTTCTTCGACGCCAATCACGTCTCGTCGGACGCGACAAAGGTTTGATACGCCGTGTCGTTACTGCGAGGACCCGCCATGGATTGGTGGCGCGTAATCGTCACGAAGCCGACCGACTACGAGACTCTACTGCCACGGGAAAGACCAACCGGACCCTGGGCGCTGTCGTATTTCGTGGAGGTAGCCCAGTATCGCACATGGGACGCGTGGTGCCCAGGTCTGCACGTAAGATTCGAGCCAATCGCGGTGTCGATCGTTGCGCGACAGAAGCTCCGCACTTGGCGCCAGCTCGGTTCCGTCCAGGACTACACCAACGGGTTTCTGGCGCTGTGCGAGTAGGTGGGATACACGCACGAGGCTGAGCGCATCGATCGCTACATCGGCGGCCTGAAAAACGACATAGAGGAAGAGATCCTGCTCCGCAACGTCACTGAATTTAACGAGATTCTTGCCATGGCGGAAAAGCTCGATTTTCTCCGCCGACCGAGACCGCCATCCTACGGCAACAGCAGCAGCTGGGGACACCGAGCTAGTGGGACGAACGAGCACGCCAGGATACGGCCCGTCGCCGTGAACGTCGTTGCCGCACCGTTCAAAGGGCGCTGCTTCGCGTGCAATAGGCAGGGGCACCACAAGAGTGAATGTTCGGAGAACGCTAAGGGAAAGGGGGGAACAGAGCAGCAGAAACAGACCAACCGAGTCAGTAGCAGACGGACCCTCTACTGACAGGTCACGCCGATCGCCCGACCCAACCGAGTAGACAGCCCCATACTGCTTAGCGGGAAAATCGACATTGAGTTAGTTAAAATCTTCGTAGACGGGGGGGCTAGCCACAGCCTGATCAACACCATCAATGCACGGAGAATGAAACTGACACTGGACAGATGCTTACCTGATATTGGCGCGAGACTGGTCGACGACACGTCACTGGCGATACGGGAACGCGTGGACCGCGTTCGGATTCGATGCGGGGGTATCTTCACATTCACCCAGGAAATGCTCGCGACGACCCTCGACGGAACCGATATTTTACATGGCCGTGATTGGTTGCGACGGCACAATCCGCGAATCGACTGGACGACGGGGGACTGCACTGTGCGAGTGAACGGTAACAACATCGCCATACCTCGCTAGAGCTGGCCTAAGTCTTCGTCGGTGCGTGTCAACGCGATCACAATAAAACGCGCCGTAGCAGCAGGAGCTGACGTGTATGCGGTTGACATTCGGGAAGCCGAGGCAGCAGACAAACCTAGTGATTTGCGGAAACTTCTCGCCGACGTACCGGATGACTTGGCAGCGCTACTGAAGCAGTACAGCGGGATTTTCCGGAAAGACTTGCCGGAGGGACTGCCATCTCAGCGACCGCACGACCACAGGATAGTGTTAGAACGAGGGGCACAGCCGACAGTACACCGACGGTTTCGACTGACCCAAACCGAACTAGACGAACTGCGGAAGCAGCTGGATTACCTGCTCGAGAAGAAATTCATTCGCCCGAGTTCGTCGCCTTTCGCCGCACCGATATTGTTCACTCCGAAGAAAGACGGGGGTTTTCGCATGTGCATAGATTACCGTGCACTGAACAGGGTTACGATCAAGTCCCGTTATGTTACCCCATCACGCGAGCCGACAAACTGATAGATTAGCTTCGCACAGCCCGAGTTTTCTTGAAGATCGACCTTCGAGGAGGTTACCACCAGATCCGAATCAACCCACCCGACTGTCCGAAAACCGCCTTCCTCACCTGCTACGGATATTTCGAATGCACAGTGATGCCTTTTGGACGGACCAACGCTCCCGCCACCTTCCAAATGGCCATGAACGAAGCCTTCCGCCCGCTCTTAGATAAGTGCGTGATCGTCTACTTAGACGACATACTGATCTACAGCCCAGACAGAGCCCAACACATGAAGGACATCGAAGCAATTATAAAAATACTGAGTGAGAACCGCCCACTCGCAAAAGCCTATAAGTGTGAGCTTCTACAGGACAGGCTGGAGTTTGTAGGGCACATTATTTCAGCCGACGGGGTGGAAATATACCCGTAAAAACTCACGGCGATTCAAGCATGGCATGCGCCGACAAATTTGACAGAGTTGCAGAGTTTTTTGGGGTTTGCCAACTACATGCGACGGTTCGTCCCCGACATGGCGAAGATGACTGCCCCGCTCCCAGACCTGCCGAGGAAGGGGGTTGAGTACACGTGGGGGGAGCAATGTCAGAATAACGAACGCGAATGAATGAACTAGCAGCAATGTGGGTACAAGTAGGAAACCATAATTGGGTTGTACCCCATATGGGCTACCCCACTATAGCCTACACAATAAGCAGCATATAAGTTTGACACACCCCCATAGGCAATGTGGGGGAGAACAAGAGGTCACAAGACCAGTCAAGAAAAGCAAAGCAAGCTCAGGGTGGATCACGAAGTCACCACGCATTCTGAGCACAAGCAAAAGGCCACAAGGCCAGTTCACATGCAGAGTTATAGAATGGAGAACAAGCAGTACAGTGATCACAACCTAGCAAGTGTAAGCATGCAGGTATAAGTATATAGATCACAGTACAAGCAAATTCAAGAAGTGAGCAAGTGAGGCAAGGTAGGCACAAGGCCTAGAACAGTACAGAAACGCTGATGATCACAAGGCTGAAGTGCCTTGGTGAAGATATCAGCAGTGTTGGCCCGAGAGGCCACGTAAACAAGACGAAGCTGACCACGCTGCTGCAACTCACAAGCAAGGAAATAGCGCAGAGCAATGTGCTTCGTCCTGTGCTCCAGTCTGTGCTCCTGACACAAGGCAATCATGGCCTTGTTGTCGACGTACAGAACTGGAGGAGAACGAGGCGGCTCTCCCAAGTCTGTCAGCAGGTAGGTGAGCCAGCGTAACTCCTGTGCAGCCATGGCCCCTGCGTAGATCTCAGCCTCACAACTGAAGCTGAGAACAGAAGACGAGCGGGTAGACCGCCAAGAAACAAAGCTGGAGCCAAGGCTGAAAGTGTAACCCTGTGACGAACGCTGCGTAGCCAAGTCGTCAACCCAAGAGGCGTCTGCGTGTCCAGTGAGGACAACTCGACCCCGTCCTCCAAGCACGAGCCCCATGCCCGACGTACTGCACAAGTAGCGCATCACCCTTTTAGCGGCCTTCCAGTGCTCTGGTAGGTGTCTCCCGGGAGCAACGCAGCGTGCCAGGATGCTAAGAGGGTAAGCAAGGTCAGGTCGAGTGCAGGTCATCAGGTACATGAGGCAGCCCACAAGCTCTCGATACGGGCCACTCGACTCTACAGACTCGTCCGAAGGTGGAGCTGAGAGCGAGTGACCGGTAGGCAGAGGAGTGGACTGTGGCGAGGAGTACTGGAAGTCGAAGCGCTGAAGGACCTGCTGCACCATGTGTGACTGAGTCAAGGTAATGGTGCGCTGTGCTCTGTCCCGGGTGATCTGCAAGCCAAGATAGCTGCGCAGCTCACCCAGGTCTGTGCACGTGTGTCTCTTCTGCAGCTCCGACTTCACTAGGGCCAGTCCCTCAGTGTCAGCAGTGGCAAAGACCAGGTCGTCGACGTACACGAGGATGTAGAACGGCGGCAGCGAAGTGTCTGTGCGTAGAAACAGCGACGGGTCAGCAGTCGAAGGAGCAAACCCAAAAGCCGCAAGCGTCGTCCTCAGTGTGTCGTGCCACTCGCGAGGCGCCTGGCGGAGACCGTAGGCTGGCCGCCGGAGGATCCACTGGGTACCTGCAGGAAACGACCCAGTGAAGCCAGGTGGGCGGCGCAGCCAGATCTCCTCGCGCAGGCTGCCCTATAAGAAAGCTGTGCTGAAGTC